TGACAAAGTGAAACTGTCTCAAAAAAAAAAAAAAAGCAGCAGATTTAGGTTTAAAAAAACTGATCAGAGCCACACACTGGGGCCTGTCAGTGTCTGGAAGGAAAGGGGAGGGAGAGCACTGGGACAAATACCTAATGCATGTGGGGCTTAAAACCTAAATGATGGGTTGAAAGGTACAGGAAGCCACTATGGCACATGCATACCTATGTAAAAACCTGCATGTTCAGCACATGTATCCCAAAACCTAAAGTAAAATTTAAAAAAACAAACTGATCAGAGACTTCTCATTTTCTCATATACCTCTTCTCCACCCACCAGATACAATGTCCCCTATCAGTAAAATCTTGTATTCATGTGGTATATTTGTTGTAACTTGTGAGCCAATATTGAGACATTATTGTTAACTAAAGTTCATAGTTTAGGCTTCACCCTTTGCACTGTGCATGCTATGGATTTTGACCAACGTATGATGACATGTAACCACCATTACAGTGTCAGAATAGTTTCACTACCCTAAAAGTCTCCTGTGTTCCACCTCTTCATTCCTCCCTCCCTCCCCAAAACCTCTGCAACCATGGTTCTTTTTCTGTCTCCAAAGATTTGCCTTTTCCAGAACATCAGGTGCTTGGAATCATATATTATACAGCATTTTTAGATTGGCCTCTTTCACCTGGCAATATGTATTTTAAGATTCTTCCGGCCAGGTGCAGTGGCTCACACCTGTAATCCCAGCACTTTGGGAGGCCGAGGCAGACAGATCACAAGGTCAAGAGATCGAGACCATGATGACAAATATGCTGAAACCCCATCTCTAGTAAAAATACAAAAAATTAGCCAGGCATAGTGGTGCACACTTGCAGTCCCAGCTACATGGGAGGCTGAGGCACAAAACGTGAACCAGGAGGTGGAGGTTGCAGTGAGCCAAGACCATGCCACTACACTCCAGCCTGGTGTCAAAGAGAGACTCCGTCTCAAAAAAAAAAAAAAAAAGATCTTTCTTGTTCTTTTATGGTTTGATAGCTCATTTCTTTTTATTGCTAAACTATATTCCATTGTATGGATATACCACAGCTGTTTATCCATTCATCTATCAGAGGACATCCAGGATCCTTTTGAACTTAAAAACAATTTTTTAACTTAAGTTTTAAGTTTTTAACCAACACATTTCTCGGGTAGGAAATATGGTTCTCAGAACACATATACTTTTTATCTTGAGACTCCTTTGTCTGAGGGAATATATTGTGATTTTCTGCAACACAATACTAGACTATCATGTCTGTTCTGAAACTTGAATCAAAGGCCACTTCACCTTCTTTTGTTCTCTGGTGATGTGAGAGCAATTAATTTTAGAATATAGAACCAAAAGATGAGAATTGAGAAATTAAGTTGCGAATTTTCAAATACATGTGGTTACTTGGCTACTATCAAACATCTACTAGAGGTCATGTCTTTCTTTTCTCTGCAACTACAGCACTATGTTGTCTTCACAATGAATCAGAATATAATTCCAGATTTGAAATTATGCCTTTTTCTCTCTTCTTTGGTTACACTGTTAATTATGTCCAAAAAGTAATTCTATGACCTTTTCAAAAGTGACATCCTAAGCTGTTGTTGATTCTCTATGTGGAAAGAAATGTCACCTGGCCCACCTGTGTCTTTGTTTTTGACATCAAATAACATTGATAACTAAATCACTCTAATATAGAAAAAAAGGCTGCCCTGCCATTTGAAGGGAATTTGCAATGAAATCCACTTACTTGGCCCGATGATTATGTATACATACTGGTTTTAAAACAGCACACAGGAGGCTTTGCCAAGAAAATTTTAAAGTTCAAGCAGAAAAAATCATCACATTATCTTTCAGTCATTTGCTGCGTGTATTTGTTTCCTTAAAATGCACAGCTAAATGCTCTCTACACACAGATATCACTTGGTAGGCGGGGTATATCTTATTACTAGGTTATTTTCCAGTACATTTGGCATAGTTAAGGTAAAGTATATTAACTTTCTCTCAAAACAAAGATGAAAACAGAGTTGTAGCCGTGAATGTTTCAGCCATTGTCAGGAAGTTAAAAACTGACAGGAGGCCCAAATAATCAACTCGGCCTGGTGCATATACCATAGTTTTCCCCTGGGAGATCTGGTCTAATCCAACCATGTATCTGACTGGCATGAATGTAGAATTACTTTCAATAAAGATTTTATTTCAAGCTTGGATGATTTCCCCCAAAACATCTTGTCACTAAGGCAAAGTATATCATAGAATATCTGACTTTTTTTTCCCTACAAGTCAGCTTTTGAGAGCAGGGAAGAAATACACATTACAACTCAAGTACTCAACTCAGGTCAATTCACTGTAAAAAATCACATTTTAACATATCTACACTGATTAAAGATTTGCTGTGTTAAAGAAATCAGGGAGCTGTCAAAGAGAGCTTACCCTAAAGTCTGGAAATGTAAAGAATAAGTACCACACTTTCTCCCTCCAGTCTGCATTCTCCCTGCAGTGGCCTCCAATCAAAGAGCACACAGGACAGATGAGTCCACCAGCTAACACCCAGCTCTGAGAAGATTTGTCTTTTTGCAAGTAAGGAACATTTAAAGGTCACATCTTCCAATAAGTATGAAATTGTTTCTAGGCCATATGAGAAATATGAATGGCCCGGTCATGATCACACGAAAATGATCTTCATTTGTCTGTGTATCCTTCTCTCTCTCTCTATTCCATTCTCTTCCTTCATGATGCCGCATTAAGTCAGCACATTCAAGATAGGGGAACAGTAGGTAACAGTTCATTACTCTATTTTGAATTCCCTTAAACGTTTCATTTACTGCTTGCTTACATTATTTCAGCCTTGGTGTCACATTGTTTAATTTATGCTCTGTTCATATAATCTTAAAAATAGCTTGTGTTACCTACAGAGTTTCACCCCTTACTAAAAGCATACAAATCATATGATTTAGTGTTAATGGGATAGGAGTAATTATTTTAACATTTAATAATCATAACATTATATTTATATAATGTTTTAAATTCAAACTCCCTTTTATCTCTATTATATTTTATGATTAACATACAATGTTACGATAAGTATGTACACAAATGAGCACTCAGCATGGATAATAGTAGATAAAACTGTAGAGAGGCATAGAAAGGGTGAGAGTTGAGTCCCTGTTCTTTGACTTTATTAGCACTGTGTAACCTTTGGACAGATCGTTAACCAAGAAGTCCTTAACCCTGGCTGCACACCAGGCTCATCTGTGAATCTTTTTAGAAACTCTGAGTCCTGGGTCTCAACCCTGAACTACCAAATCAGAATCTCTGCAGTTCCTTTCCTTTGTTAAAGCTTGAGCCAGAGTGGAAAACCAGTGAGTTCTAATCTCCCTTTCCTTGCTTATAAAACAACAATTGACAGAAGAAAATGTAATCACATATAATAAAAATCAATGTTTCTGGCCAGGTGTGGTGGTTCACACCTGTAATCCCAGGACTTTGGGAGGCCAAGGTGGGCAGATCACCGGAGGTCAGGAGTTCGAGACCAGCTTGACCAATAAGGTGAAACCTGTCTCTACTAAAAAATACAAAAAAGTAGTCAGGCATGGTGGTGCATGCCTATAATCCCAGCTACTTGGGAGACTGAGGCAGGAGAAATGCTTGAAACTGGGAGGCAGAGATTGCAGTGAGCTGGGACCACACCATTGTACTCCAGCCTGGGCAAAAATAACAAAACTCAGTCTCAAAAAAAAAAAATTATAATGTTTCTATATTTTGCAGAGGGTTTTCAAATACATGTATAAATTTCATCTCCAAAACAACCTATGAGATCAGTTTTGCCATTAACTTCACTTTCTAAATGAGGAATCTGAGGCTCTGAGAACTGCTAGGGCCCATCTAAGATCACACAGTCAGTATCTATAGAACAAGCACTTAAGATTTTGAGATTCCAGATCAACAGTAATGGTTCTTCCTCCACAGCTAGAAGAGAATCACATGGAGAGCTTTTAAAATGTACCCAGGCCTCACTACAAGCCATTTGCAACAGATTCTATGTGAATGTGTCCCAGAGGTTAATACAGTTTTGAATGTCTGACAGATGATATTAATATGCAGGCTGGATAGAGAATTTCTGCCCTAGAATGACCAGAACAAGTTTGGAAAATATAAAGTTATAAAGTACTATAAACAGCATGATGATTTTATCACAGTTTTGCTGATAATTAAGCATGAGTTCAAAGAGGAAGGAAAATGATGTGTGAACACAGAGCTGGTCAGATCTAGGCTCAGGATTAGATTTCAGGTTTTCTCTTTCATGAACCAGCTCTCTTTCTATTGGAACTTCTCTGACTCCCCAGAGCCCATGGCTGCTCATGATTAGATTTCATATGGCGCCAGTTACCTATTAACACCAACAGAAGTAAAGATGGAGCAGCATGGGGCAGAAAGAGAAGTCAAACTGTGACACTGGGCCCCACAAAGCCTGGCTACCCACAGAAGCTCTGGGGCATCCAGGCCCATCACAGTTGTCTCCAGGAGGACGAAGATGGCTTGGCCTTGATACACTCACTGCCATCAGTCATTGGCTGTGGGCTGTCTCCAAAAGTCTCTTGGGGTGAGATGGCTCTGGTCAGCTGAGGCAAACCCTGCAGGCACTGACCGCTGAAGCTGCCTGCAGACTTGACACCTGGAAGCTGAGCAACAAGTCTTTCCTCGAAAAGAGACCTGCCCACCACATCAGGTGTCCACCACAGCACACCGTTTGTGGCGCTCGTGTGTGTTCTTCATGTTCATTTGAGAAACAGCTCCCCCAGGACTCTAGGAGGCCTCTCTACCTGAGGAGACCTTTGAAGAGGAAGCTTTAGAAAGATGAACTAAAAGCTCTGTAGTCTGAGGATGAGGGGAGTCTTGAATAGATAGCAGAAGATGGAGACAATAAGCCCGACTTTTATTTTTGCCTTTCTCAGCCCAGCTCATTGTCTCCATCTTCTGCTATCTATTCTAGACTCCCCTCATCCTCAACAACGGCCTCTGCTGGTCATGGTGGCTTCCCTGATGCAGCGTCCCAGACGCTCAACCATGAGGGATCCAAGCTCCTGTGTACCACGTCGTCTCAGACAAGAATTTCTGCCCTGTTCATGACCCATCGCAATTGGGCAACAGAGAACTTGGAAGCCCTATGTGGATCGTCTGGGTGTCATCCTGTCCCCCGGTACAACAGCAACCTTGCCTCCTCCCTATGATCACAGCTAATTATACCTGCCTAGATGGTGACTCTGCCTTGACTGCTGGTACCTAAACCCAAGAAGCTCCACGTGCCTAGAAAGCAGCAGTAGCTTAGAAGATATATATATCAGTGATTTGATATATCACTCAAATACAATAATATAAACAGTTCTCTGATTGCCCATTTATTTTGCTCCACAAGATGCTATGTTCTGGTGACCATCTCATAATTCTGTGAGTCGGCCCCCATTTTTGGCTGCCCTTCAGCCCTGACACTTGTTATTAAAATTGCACCTACCTGGCTTTTAGCAATTAAGCCCCACCACCCAGCTTCTATTACCAGTGTCTCAGCATCCCCATTGCAATCAGTGAGCCTAGTTCTGTAATAGACTCTCCTACAGTCAACCCTCATTTACAGAGTAAAGGCCCCTGTAATCACATACAACTTTTCTGTAGAATATCAATGGTGCTTAGCAACAGCCCTTCAATTTCATTGACCTTGGAGTTACTATCCACAACCTCCCACTATCATTTTTAAATTCCTCATACATTATACCAGCTAGTCTCCTACACAGATCTAATGTCCTAATTCACCACCAGGGTGAGTTTTCACAATCGGAGTGCCACCTCATGCCAGGGACCTGTCTTCATTCCACCTGCCACCATTGATGGACTCTTCATTGCCAGTCAGGCTGCAAGTGACCCAGTTCCAAATTCCCTTCTTATTGCTGGCTTTCTGGGACCACTCATAGAACCAATAATCATGGGTTTGGTTCACCAGAAGGAGCCCCCAAAACAGAGTTTGGCATCCATGGCATTGTTAAAGATTAATCCCTGTAGGAGGAAAAAGGCGTCAATAGGATTAGGCAGAGGAAGAAGCTGAACTGAAGTGCAGACCAAAGAAAGCTTCAGCCAGACCCACAGGAAGCTCTGGGGCACACAGAGCCTGTCAAAGATGTCCCACAGTGGGCAGAAATGGTCCAGCTTTTGTACTGACAGTGGGGGCCAGAGCAGTGGCTCACACCTGTAATCCCTGAACTTCAAGAGGCTGAGGCAGGAGGATCACTGGAGGCCAGGATTCGAGACCAGCCTGGGAAACACAGTGAAATCCCATTTCAACAACAAAAAATTTTTTTTAATTAGCTGGGCATGGTGGCACACACTTGTAATCCTAGCTACTCAGGAGGTTGAGGTGGGAAGATCGCTTAACCCCAGGAATTGAGCTTACAATGAGCTATGATTGTGTCACTGCACTCTAGCCCGGGTGACAGAGCAGGCCCTTGTCTCTAAAATAAATTAATAAATAAAATATATGTTGACAGATCAGTCAGCGTCTTTGAGCAAGGAGGCTTATAGCTATTGAGACAAACCCTAAAGAAGACAGCTGGCAGCCATCAGCTACCCCTGCAAATGTATGGGGTCCTTCCATGAAAGGAGATCTGAGTGGCCCATCTCTGCAACCAAAGCAACTACCATAGTAATCAAATTGACAAATGTACCAATGACCCCTTAACAGCCTAGAGACTAAGAGCCTCTGTTATAAAGCTTAATATAATGCTTGATAGTGGTCCCTAAATCATGAAGCATTTCACGTAGGAATTCTTAGAACAGGTGATCACAGTTCTACGTGCCGGACGATAGAATCATGAGTTAGTCCAGCATCCGTATTTACAGGGACATATGCAGAAACTGGCACAATTCATTCCTTCACCGTAGTACAGATGATAAATTTATATGTGTAAATGCAAAATAAATTATTTTCTATCTTTAAACAAAGTATTATATACATTTTGAAAGGGTTTATATTTCTGCAGATGCATCGAGCATTTTACCAAAAATAAAATTATACGATCAAATTTTAGATGGTCAAAAAAAATGGCATCATTATCTTTAGCTTCAATCCAACCACAGTATAAAGCAGATAAAAATTACTCTCTATTCTAAATTCCTCTCACCAGTTTTGTTCAAATTAGGTACATGTTGGAAACTCATCGTCAGATAGTATATGGGAAGGAAAGACACACTGAACAATAACAGGCCCTTAAATTCTCAAATAGTTGCGCCTTTTATTTTTGCCTTCACCTGCTTGTCCTCTCACCATAGATATGAAATTTAGGTGTGCAAGAAATTATTGTGCCAACATTAAAATTGATTTCTCTGTCAAGGCTCTCTTCTTCCAAATCACTTAAATTTGGTCTATTAAGACTGTCTTCCAGATTTTTCCTGGTGATGTTGTTAGTTCTGCAGGGCTATGTAGAGCCGAAGCATTTGGTGGAGGGGTAGAAAGAATATTCATTAATAGAGCATTTCGACAAATACTTATTGAGCACTTAATACCATGAGCCAAACACTAATCTTAGTCTATGGATACAGCACTAAGAAAAAACAAAGTCCTTGTGCTTAAGGCATTTATATTCTGCTGAAGAAAGATAATAAAGCAGATTAGCAGCAGAGAAAGTGTCGAGCTCTTGCCACCTCTGCAGGCTAGTCCTCATTCCCTTTTTATTGGCAGTCATCTCCCCAACTTCCAATCCCAGGTCTGGATCGTTGTCACTTTTCATGGAGTACTCTGTGAAACTATCTTTGGCCACCCTGACTGGATGTACAAGGCAGCAATTTCTACTCAACTACTCCTGGCATACTAGGTGTAGGCAGCTCTGGAATCCTGCCATACTACTAGGTCTTCCCCAACAAGAATATGGGTCTGTCTGATCTCAGGATCCTCAAATCTTCTAACACTCTGCACTCCCAGGGAACAGGAGTAGGAAGAACCAGGGCCTGAGCCACTTACGTGGGACCTAATCAAAGTCTCACCTTTCCTTGACCTTCTCACTCAAAGTCCAGAAAATCTTTCTCTAGTCTGGCAGCAAAGTAGTCTGGGTCTTCATCTACCTTTCAATCTACTGATCCATGTTTTGGCTGCAGCTCTGAGGCCTTTGGCACTTAGGCTTTTGAAACTCAAAAGCACAGTCCTTTGCAACTCAAACGCCTTGTCTTGTAAAAATTAAAAGCACTTCTGCTTTTCTGCTATAACATCCCTGAACTGAGGCCACATGCTGCTAACTGAAACTTGGGGAAAGGCCCAAGGTACAAAGAAGGATGGAGAAGACGCCTTGTCATTATATACTATCTCATCTTATCCCCAAATGACACTTTAACTTTCCCAGAATGGCCATTCTTTCATCATTAATCTGGCACTTTAAAGATTGTTCAGACTTCCATCCAATACAGGAATCTCAAACATCCTGCCTGAATACTTATCCTGATGGGGAACTCATAGCATTTTTTTTGTTATAAATTATTTAATATCTTTGATAGGTGCTCCCAATGCTTTGCCAGTACATAGGGGAGAAAAAAATCTACACTAAATATTAATAGTGGTAATATCTAAGTGGTAGAATTATGAGTGATTCCTATTTTATATTTATCTACATTTTCTTTTTTTTTTTTTTTTTTTTTTTTTGAGATGGAGTTTCGCTGTTGTTACCCAGACTAGAGTGCAATGGCACAATCTCGGCTCACCAGAACCTCTGCCTCCTGGGTTCAAGCAATTCTCCTGCCTCAGCCTCCTGAGTAGTTGGGACTATAGGCGCGCACCACCATACCCAGTTAATTTTTGTAATTTTAGTATAGACGGGGTTTCACCTTGACCAGGATGGTCTCGATCTCTTGACCTCGTGATCCACCTGCCTCAGCCTCCCAAAGTGCTGGGATTATAGGCGTGAGCCACCATGCACGGCTATTTATCTACATTTTCTAAATCTTCTATAGTAAATGTAAACATATTACTGTTTTGAAAGAGTCTTTTCTATGTTTACCACACTAATTCTTCATACAAAGGTAAAATTCTTCTCTAGGCCAATTCCAGTAACTGGATTAGAAGAGGAAAGTTGACTCTTTCATGTGATGGTTTTTTGCATTAAGTCATTATGGCTTCCCTAACTATTCTTTCCCTCTCCAACACCAAACACCTTAAGTTTCTTTTCCCAAAACACCTTCAGTTCCTGTTCTCTTCCATTTAGGAGCCACACTGCTGGGCACATTCACCTTGGGGCTCACTAGTTTTACAGCATCCATGTTAAAGTCACTGCAGAAAGTGTCTAAAACTGGCCAGGCATGGTGGCTCATGCCTGTTAATCCCAGCACTTTGGGAGGCCTAGGCAGGCAGATCACCTGAGGTAGGGAGTTTGAGACCATCCTGGCCAACGTGGTGAAACCCTGTCTCTCCTAAAAATACCAAAACTAGTTGGGTGTAGTGGTGAGCGCCTGTAGTCCCAGCCACTCAGGAGGCTGAGGCAGGAGAATCGCTTGAACCCAGGAGGTCGAGATTGCAGTGAGCCGAGATCTTGCCATTGCACTCCAGCCAGGCCAACAGAGCAAAAGTGTGTCTCACAAAAAAAGAAAGAAGGTGTCTAAAACTTATTTTTCCTCAGAAAGTAAAATTAAACACATGCAAATTGAATAATGATACCCGAATTGTAATTGATTCTCCTTTGACTATTTTACAACCTTTTAAACAAGGAGACAATTTTCAAGAAAACTGCTAAAGATTTTATGTAGGTGCCCTTAATGAAAAGTAAAAGTACTCTTCTCTTCACCTATATGAAAAGGAAAAATAAAAGTTGAGGAATACTCTGCATACTGAAAATATTCCTTTTACATTTATGTAACATCACAAGGCAAATATTTAAGTACCATATATTCCACTAATATCTTATAATTAGGTGCATTATTCTGCTTGGCTTAATTAATGCTGATCCACGCACAACACTCAATATTCTGTCTAGAATGTTACTAGCACATACTAGTTTTTGAACAGCTACATTGGACACATTTAGGTAGAAAATAATTACAGTCTTATAACTTTTTTCTTTCTGAAAGTACTCCCAACATAATATATTTTCTAGCCTTTCTCCCCTAACCGCAGAGCAATGCCTTCCCAGGATGTTGATATTATCAGTGGTTATTGGTATGTCAGCAGAGCCCAGGGAATAAAAATTAAGAATTCTTTTAATGCTGAGACAGTTAAATGTGAATAGCTAAAACCATTTTAAAAGCATGAGGAAAAACACCTCAAAAAAAACAATAACCAAAATAATCATTTTGCTAATAGGGCATTTCCATTTATAATGAGAAATGAATGTTTTCAGAAGTTTTTAATTCTGTGTGAATCTGGAAAAAAAGGTAATGCATGTTAATTTGGTTTTTATTCCATCTGAACACCCTTCTCATATGTGCAGATATATCCTTGGATGTGAATTAGCTGATTAAAAAAATCAGAACATGTCACCCAAGACTTCTTGCTGACTCTGACTCACTTTCCTCCCAAGTCCTCCTCAGGTCTCAGGGCTCTCCATTAGGAAGTCCCTTGATGTCAAACTCAAAATGCTTGGATCTTAGCTATTTGCAGAAAGTATATTTATATCCCAGAGTAATAAAGATCTGCATCTTAGTCTATACTCTGCCACTTACTTCCTGTGTGGCTTGAATCAAATTTTCAGTCTTTCTCAGGCTTATTTTGCTCATCTGAAAAAGTTCACCTGAAATTTTTCTCCTACTGCTGAACAAAAGAAAAAAAGGGGAAGAGAAATATCCCATTATACAGTAAGGTCACAGTGATTTAAACAGCAGAGTACCAGTTCTAAATACACAGAGAGGCCAAGCACAGTTGTTCATGCCTGTAATCCCAGCACTTTGGGAGGCTGAAACAGGCAGATCACTTGGGATCACAAGTTTGAGACCAGCCTGGCCAATATAGTGAAATCCAAAGTCTACTAAAAATACAAAAAACTAGCCAGGCATGGTGGCACATGCCTGTAATCCCAGCTACTTGGGAAGCTGAGGCAAGAGAATTGCTTCAATTTGGGAGGTGAAGGTTGCAGTAAGCCGAGATAATGCCACTGCATTCCAGCCTGGGTGACAGAGTGAGACTCTGTCTCAAAAATACGTGTGTGTGTGTATGTGTGTGTGTGTGTATGTGTGTGTGTGTATATGTACATGTTTATATATTTTTATACATACATATATATTTTTAAATATCTGATTATATGTAAATTATATTAAAATACACATATACAAAAATGTGTGTGTATATACGTGTATATATATATACACACTTACATACAGAGAGCTAATCAACACAGTAGGGTATACCAGGGTGTGTGGCTGAGTGCAGGAAAACTGCACAAAAAAAGGCAGTATCACAAATCAATGGAGAATGGTGGTTTATTCAACAAATGTCACAGGGAAAATTAGCCGGCTTCCC